TGAACAGCCGACCCAATTCAAAGTGTTTACGACTACTAATGTTCAACTCCGTAGCCTTCTAATTTTGAACCCAATCCAGAAGACAAGGGAACTCCTGGATCGAGTATTGGGAGAAATTCGCCTTCGTGGAGGACTTTTTGATAGAGCTAACCCGCTTTTGCGTTACATGGAGAGGAAGACCACGAGAACCTCCCACGGTAAGCCTGGCGGCAAGGGGACTCTAACCCATGATCAGTGTACCACTGAGGATATTTCATGTCAGCACTGTGGTCGGTGCAAGCCGGATGCGGAATTCCTATCGACTGGGATTCGAACCCGGTTCGCTCCATTGGAAGGCGAATGCTCTATCTCCTGAGCCATTGGTGAAATGGATGCGTTGCGTTTGGCGAAAAGAGACTGTCAGATGGCGGAGCGATTAGGATACCTGACTGTGAAGCCAATGGTCGCGGATTCGAATCCCGCTAGGGACAAAAAATGATTTTCTCTCTGTTTATTATTATTATTATTATTATAATGGCGTTCAACTATCGACCTAATCCTGAGTATATAACTATTAAAGTATCTTGCTATTTAGAACCCAACTCAGAGGACAAGGGAACTCCTGGATTGAGCATAGGGACAAGCTAGCTGACGTGGAGGAATTTTTGATAGAACTAACATGCATTTGCGTTGTAGGTAGAGGAAAACCACTTAAACCTCTCACAGTTAGCCCGACGGCAAAGGGATTGTAATCCATGGTGCATCTACCACTGAGGATACTTTATTCGAGCAACTTTTGATGTGAGGCAGGAACGGAATTTCCATCAACCTACCAACGCTGAGTTTGGAACCTGGATAATTCCATTAGCAGGCGAACGCTTTATTCCCTGAGCTATCGCGACTCTCTCTGTCTGTGTGTGTTTAGTCTATTGTGTGACGTGTGAATGTGGCCCACCATATGAGCTGGCCTCTGTGGCTGTAACGTTAAATAAGCACCACTTCCACGACGAAGAGCGTAATTGTTCAGTGCTAGCCATTGCAAAATCAGAGGTATAAAATATAAAACATGCAATTACTTTAAATTATTCCTATTGAACTGTGCTGGCTCAAGGGATGGATGCATCTCAGTCAGGTGATCCCAGGTTCGAATCCCAGCGATGACTGGGAATGCGAATTCCGCACCCGGCTCGTACAAACCACAGAGCTGAGGTAAAATATCCTTAGTGGCATACGGATCATGGGTTAGTCTGTTTGTAGTCAGGCTAATCATGAGAGTTTTTCGTAGTTTCCCTGTTCAAGTAACGCAAATCGCGGTTAGTTCTGTCAAAAAGTCTTCCACGAACGCAAATTCCTCCCACTACTTGATCCAGGAGTTCTCGTCTTCTGGATTGGGTTCGAAATTACAAGGCTGCAGAGCGGAACATTAGTCGTCGTAAACTCAAAATTGGGTCGGCTGTTCAACGACGGGTATAAAATGAAAACAAAATGGTTGTAAAATGTGTTAATATTCACTTGGTGACTTTTTGAGTATTAACGACGCTTCGGCAATGTATAGATTTGTTATTAAGCAAAGTCAACCTACTAATCGTTTAAGATAGAGCGCAATAAGAAAGAAGAAGGGAGAAAAAAAGCACCACAGTTAAAAGAATGGAGGAAAGAGCAATTTTTTATTTTATAAATTTAAAACTGTTCATTTCGAAGTTTTAAGTTTTTCCAATTTCCAACGCAATAGTTTGAAAATTTGACAGCGTGATTTGATACAAAAAATAGTTTTATTTCGTTGAAGAGTGTAATTATTACTTTTGAAATGTTAAGCTTCGTGTTCTAATGATTTCTAAATGATTTCTGATGGAAAAAAAAAACAGATTTTTAAAGCACATTCGATGTTTAATATTTCTTATTCCATTAAGTTAAAATTTATAGTAAAGGAAAAAAAAAGATTTCAGACGCGGGTAGAGAAAACTATGAAGTATAAAATGCGGAAAGAATTGAAATTTAAATTCGATTCTAGATTAATATATTCAAAGATTTATTTGACCCACTTTTAACTACATGAGAAACGCCATATTGTTTACTCCGTTCAAAACAAAGTTTGGAACGAGGAGAGCTAGTGACGTCGTTGATGACGTAGGACTAACCCTGTAGAGCGAGAACTCTTCCGCAGAAAAAGCATTGGCTGCAGTCACAGAGAAGGGAAACTGTGGAATCTAATAATTGCTGCGACGTTTACAAGGCCACCTCCGTAAATGATAGATTTACTACTGAATCAGAGGCCTATGATTATTAAAATTTGTTGATTAGTTAGATTAATTGTTAGTAATTAATTAAAATGATGGTGAGAAGAAAAGGATAACACAAATAAGGGACAGCACAAACATATAAAAACATAAACAAAAAGTACATTAGTGGATTAGGAATTAATTATTATTTTTTATTTATTTTATTTTATACTAGCCCCCTAAGGCGGTCAGCTGTCCGCCTCGCTAAAGGTTTTCACAAATAAAGTTTTTTAAAACATAGCAGGAAATCTGAAGATTAGTGGACAATTAAAGTCCTGCAATTTTGTCTTCATATCCAGATGAACAGCGACAAATATATCAAAGCGAAGCGTTCTATTTACGTATCGAATATGTTGCCACATTTTTAATACAAAAGTTAAACTTTTCTCCACTTTGATAAATGTAAACTAATGCGAACCTTAAAATTAAATTATTAATTCCTTCGTATATTATTGGTTTAAGTTGTCGAAAATTAATATTTCAGTTGTAAGGTTCGCATTAGCATACATTTATAAGAGTAGAGAAAAGTATATGCATTTTTTAATAGTTTTTTGACTAGGCTCTTTGAAGACGAAAAAGCATAGATTTTCTTACAAAATGACTGTTAACTAAAAAAACTAATCCAAATTTTTGGAAAAGAAAAAAAATACTTCTTCATTATGTTAAAACACAATTATGTGCCGAGTTTCGTGCCTGGACGAGGCTTCTGGGGCGATATATTGTGATTACAGACAAACGGACGCACACACAGCCGCGTTTATTATTATGTATAGATAATTAATTAAAATATTTAATAACAAAATTAGTTGATTGATTAAAAGGTGTTAGGTTGTAAAGTTTGTAATCTGTGTGGTCCGCTGTAAATTCCGCAAGGGAGGCCATCCCTAGAACAGAAAAAGTCCTTTGCCTAGAAGGTGGCAAAGGAGGGGGTGTCGTTCTGGGGGGATATGAGAGAGGAAGAAAAAAAAGTTGAAATTTTATTTTTGGCTTTTTTTTTTTTTTTTTTCGTTGGGGTTGGGGTGGGGGAGAGGCATGACTGCACTGAATTAATGTTTTACTTTCCTAGAACGGAACATTTCTTCTTGGGGGATGAGAAGACTTTATTTATTTATTTTTTCTTCTTGGTTGGTTCTCAATGATTTTTTGATTAAAGGTTTTCCGGTTGGTTCTGGGTTCAGCTATATTGGCAGCTTTGGGAAAGGCAGGATACATGCCTTGAGGAACAGTAAGTTATTTTGAAACTCAAAATAGCTAAGCGAATTTTTGTAATTGGATGTCATAAACTATGAAAATTTTGCTAATGAAATGTATATTGAAAGTTATGGCGGAATGAAGAAAAGGCTCTTTTTATTTAAGCTTGTACACGAATATTTTTTTCGATGTTTATAAATAGAAGCCGCTTACACTATTTTACTATATTATTCATTATCTACGAATTTATTCAAATTGATTTGTGAGTTTAAGCATTGTTCCAGTATTCGAAACCATTTGGAGCTTAGTATATTATAAACAACTATTTAAGTATGAAGAATAGCAATAGTAGATATAGAAAAAACATGCCAGTTAGAGAGTTAAGATTGTCTGCCAAGAGGAAAAAAACATAGGAGAAAAATTTAATGAATGGCGTGCTAAGTAAGTTTTTGAGTGTGTAAGTTATTATAGTCTGAATAAGTCAATGAGAAGAAATTAGTAAAATTGTGGGTTGCAATAACTATTTGTATTTCATTATTACAACTGTATACTTCTTCAATTTGAGAGGTTCAGTCCCTTTAACCCCTTAACGATCAATTAATTTTCAAGAAAGTTGTCATAAAAGTGCCTATTTCTTGACATCTAGTTTAAAATAAGCTAATTATTTACAATTACCTTAAAAATATCCTGGTACTGCCATCTGGTGCGTAAAATGAGAAGTAAAATGTTTTCCGGGCAAAAGAAGAGAATTAGTTTTATTCTTATTGGCGGGTTACTACTCAACACTCCAGCCCGGAAATATCACGGGAACGAGAAATAGAGGGCGAAACCTCACCCCGTCACTTTTACGGGAGCAAGAAGGAAGGGGTTAAAGTACTTTACTTTTCAGCAATTGAAACTTATCAGCAAAATTTACTGCAGGTTTGTCCAAACTCATTTTTTCAATACTTTTAAGCTTTAAATTAATTATGAAGATCAAAAAGAATTTGTGATGAAAAAGTTTCTCTCGCTGTGTAGCGTCTCTTGGATTTTATTTCAAGGATGTTGGCACCGTTGCCAGATTGAATCGTCGTCTCAAAGTTATTCTATGGGAGAACATAATCCCTTTATCTCAATAATTTACAACCTGACAGCTCAATGCTTAATATTAAAGAATAGATCTCATTTAAACAAACATATCTAATGTAACAAATTATTTTAAAATTCTATTAATAATTTTTAAAACGAGTTTGAATGTGATTTTAGAATAATTTTCAAGCGTTTTTCACGAAATTACTTTTTTAGTTAAATTCGCGAAATTTTTTAAAAAAAAAAAAAACATATAAGTGCGTAGTTTAAACCTAATTTCAGCAATATGAAATTATAAACTAGGAACTATTGCTAAAAAATGATTTTTTTCCCGGGTATGAAACATTTTTCTATTCTGAAATCGTTCTTTAGTTCCTCCTTTTCTCTCCAGGAGGCTATCACTCAACCATGAAGAAATCCCTCAGGCATGAAAAAGGGGACTTTCATGGTTGTCGTTGGTTGTCGTAAATAAACCTGTGATCTTTTTCGTAATGGTGGATTTCAATGGTCGCCAACATAGTTAGTCCTTGGTCGCCAAGAAACAAACATTCACAAGAATGCTTGTTTGAATGTTGTCAATGGCTGTAAATTGTCTTTGTCATCTCTTGGTCAGACGTTTTAGAAATGAATAGATTTGTTATAAGGCAGGGTAAACCTACTACTCGTTTAAAATTGAGCGCAAGAAGAAAAAAAAGAAAAGCACCATGGCTACAAGATTGGAGAAAAGGGTAAGCTTTTAATTTTATAAAATTAAAAAGGTGCACTAGGGACTTATATTATTCCAATTTATAACTATTCTATTATATATGTATAATCGTATTCTATTTAGTAATTTTTAAAGTTCTTTATCTGTTAATAATTATGTTTCCGAAAAGTTTCATTTTTTTTTTCTTACTTTTTAAAATAATACTTGGATTGGAGTGAAATTATTCTATTGCTTCAATTCATAATTTGTCTTTGATGACAAGAAAATGAGGAAAAAAATATTTTGAGTATTTTTTTTATATCCTCATAAGTTCTGAACGTGTACGCGTGTACATTTAAATGATATATTTTATTTGATTTTTATATTGATCACAGTATTACATAGTTTATTTTATTTGTATTGCTTACAATAAATTTAAAATGTAATAATTTATCATTGTTTTATTATTAAGTATATATTAAATTAGCATTAATGCTCACATCTGTTCTCAATATTTTTGAGTAAATAGTATAACTTCGCTACCTTTAAAATTTTACAAATTTTCGAAGATTTTTTAGTGGCTTAATTTTTTTTTTTTTTTTTTTTTTTTTTTTTTTTTTGTTATGCGAATAATATGCTATTTTCGTTGCTGATCTGACCTTACAACAGTTATTCATGACTGTTAGCCTATTTTTAGTCAGCGCCTTCTATATTTATTCTGAAAATGGCGAAAGGAGATAAGCCACCATTCTGTGAAAAATGAAAAGCGTATGTGGTTTCATTTTTTAATATTTAAAAATTTGGGGCCGGGATAGCCTGGTCGGTAGGGCAGGTGGGCCCATGTCTAATAGTTCGTGGGTTCGATCCCCGCCGGCCGAAGACTCCCTGTGTAGTAAATTGTGACTGATGCATGTTAAATCTATCGAGTGGCAAAGTCCTCCATGTTCCCATAACAAATCAATACCTCTCGGGGTACTGGTCCAGGAGTTTCCTTGTCTTCTGGAATGGGTTCAAAATTACAAGACTACGGAGTTGAACATTAGTAGTCGTAGACCCAAAATTGGGTCGGCTGTTCAACGAGGGATATAAAATAAAAATAAAATATTCAAAAATTTACTGTGATGAGTTATCTGGGCTCATAAAAATTCGCAAAAAATTGGGAAATGCATTGATTTTGATAACTTTCATGTAGGTGAAAAAATGTCGCCATATTGATAATTTGTAAAAACCTTTAATAAATTGTTTTAGCTAGCAAATATTTTTTGATTAATAAGTTGGTGCGAATTGTATAATTGAAATATATAATGGTTTTATTAGTTTTTTTTCTCTATAAATTGAACACAATATTTATTTTCAAATTGAATTTTAAAGAAAATTTAAATCACTAATATGAACATGAATAATCTTGTACAAAACTGACAAAGGATGGCAGATACAAGAAGCAACAAACGCTTATTCAAATTTTAGTTTAAAGCTTACATTTATTTAAATTCATTCAAATATTCATTAACTCATTCAAATATTCATATTTTAAGTTGAACGAATCCTTGGTGTCGCTGATATAAACATGAGCACACTTGCTCAATAATAACAATTTCAAACAATAACAATAAATAACAAATAATAACAATAAATATCAAATCATAATAACAATAAATAACAAATAATAGTTCAAACCACGGGTCAAACAGAAACAATAAACAAATCGCTCAGAGGCAGCTTACATCGTTCTCTAATGTAGAAATCAGTAACCAGAACTTGGGCGAGGTTGAATGGATGAGGCTGGTTGCTATGGTGATGTTGCTTTCTTTTGACCGGCCTTGAAAAGGAGATTACGTTGTTAAACTTCATAAAAACGGGCGCGTTTTAAATTTCTTTGATGTAAGAAGATTTATCCAGGATGCCTCGATTTAGAAAAAGAGAAAGTAATTTACATTTGTCTACACGTAGAGAGAAAAATAAAGGTCAAAATTTGAAAGCCTGAAAAGAAAGGTAAGGCTATTTTCATTTTTGTTTTTCAAAAATCCATTTCTTCTTAGAATGTATGTATGTTTTTGAAAATCCATTTCTTTTGTTGCTCAATTCTCTATGTGCGATAAAAGTCGTTTTTTTTTT